GGCGGCCGGACCGGACGAAGCCGCCCCAAGACATTCGGCGGCCTGAGGGGAACCTTCCCCTCCCGGCGGGTCCAAGGGGAACAGGGTAGCCCTGTCGTCCACAGTGATAGCTAAAAAACAACCCAACCGAAAACAAAATAAAAATAAAAGAACAACTTTAAAGAAGACTTTAGCTTTTTTAAAAATTGGTTATTTTATTTTTATTTTACCTATAAGGGTACCTAAGCTGGACCAACTTACTTTCCTTCTCCCTGAGGCAGAAAAAGTGCACAAACTTGTAATTTAAAGCCTCTGCTGCTCATTCTCTGCCTGGTTTATTTGAATGAGAGGGCTGGCTGGGTTTTCACCCTGCTGAACCACCCAGAATAGGGTATTGCGCTAATGGGGCAGTACTGTATAAATTTAATTAATAAGTAAACCTTCGCCGCCTGCTTTGGAGAAACAAGAGGTTGAATAAGGTGCAACTTGCCGCCTTTATGTGATAACCTCCAAATCTAAGGGAATTGCCTCCTTTTAGTGTCACAAGTGGGGTGTGACAAGACAGCGCTGTCCTCCCCAGAGTCACCCAAAAAAAATAATAATCCCATTTGCCCTCAGCATACTGATGCTCCTGATTTCCATCCCTGGACAATTTTTGTATCATTGGAGTGTGTTTGTGTTTTTGGGCAGGTGGAATAGTAGTGCATTGCAGGTAGTGCATTGCAGGTTACAAAGCAGCCCTAAACTGAGAAGGTTTCAGCCCTTCAAACTCTGATTTGTTTTTCTGTGTAACCGCTTGTCCTAAAGGTCCTATTTCTTTCTCCTAAATTTGTTAGTACTATTTTTTTTTTGGTGAGTCTTTGAATTTTCTTTCTAGAAAATAAACAGATTGCCCCTTTCAGAATGGCACAGTTCAAGCGCCAAAAGCAGCTGCGAACGAGCAATCTTCAGGGAGCCAGATCATTCTCAGGTTGGTCCAATGCAGGTGTCAAAACTGTTTTTCGCTGCTCCCTCTGTGGCGTAGCCTCCTGTAATGCACAACCAGTGTGGCTGTTGGCTGGAGAGGGTGCCTGGAAGCTTGGTCTGAAATAATAGCTGCTGAATTGAGGGGACTGTGTAACTGTGATTTTGCCTCATTTGCCTGAAAGAAAAGATGTGGATCCCCAATACAGTGGTTCCCTGCGCAACCCAGGTGTTCTTGGACTGCACCTCCCAGAAATTCCAGCCAGCACAGCTGGTATTGATGGTTTCTGGGAATTGCAGTCCAAGAACCCATGGGTTACCCAAGGTTGGGAACCACTGATCTAATTAATGGATAGCATGTATAATTCCAGTCTCCCTAGAAAAGACCTTAATGTTGGGAAAGTGTGAAGGCAAGAGGAGAAGGGGACGACAGAGACGAGATGGTTGGACTGTGTCACTGAAGCGACCAACATAAATTTGACCCAACTCCGGGAGGCAGTGGAAGACAGGAGGGCCTGGCACGCTCTGGTCCATGGGGGTCATGAAGAGTCCGACACGACTTAACGACTAAACAACAACAACAATGTATAATATAGATCTGTGTTCAAACCTAACTATGGAGTCTCAGATCACCCTCTAGTCCAATTCCTGTAATTATTCCTCTTACATTAAGATGGTTTGTCCCTCTGAAACGTCTTTACTGATTGTAAATAAATCAGTGTAATAGAATGTTCATACAGTTTTACCTATCTGATTAATAAAGGTATATGTAAATATTCTCTTAATAGTTAGTCTCCTAATATTTTAAAACTGTGTAGAGCTTGAAACTGTACTTGCTTCTTTTACCAGGAACCCAACCAGCCTCTTTATTGGGACCGGCACCCGGCCTGTTAAATCCTCCTATCTCAGCAGACATCATTCAGGCAGCACGTCACCTTCAGGTTTGTGGGAGATGATTGGCTTTTCTTGGGCTGCTTTCTCCTGGGCTGCTAGGTAGTGAAATTCTGGTGTCTTTTTATTCTTTTAGTGGAGCAGTTTAGGGATTCTGCCTTACCTCAGTAACGTTGTGAAATATTCAAGGCTTAAAGTGTTACATTCTGAGATTGTATGAATAACTTTATATTTAGAGAGAGAATGTTCACATTTTCTCAGATTGAATTTTTGCCAAAGTTCACTGAGAAAAAAATGTGAATATTCTCTTCACAATATAAAGTTATTGGTAAAGTCTCAGATTTGCTGGAGGTTAGTTGAAGGCTCTCCACAGATCTGTGTGACTCTCCTGTTGTCTGAGGGGCTTTGAAGTCCCTCTCCATGTGGTGAAACTAGAGTTGTTTGTGTGATGCCAGTTCATCTCAGATCCATTGCAGGAGGTGCTAGAAAGACATGAACCTGGCAGAAAGTATGTGTGTAGGTCTCTTTCCCCAAATTGTCAAATTTAGCACAACATTATCTAATTATACACTGTTGCTCCGGTGCCAGAATTCTGATTGCAATAATGAAATTTTGCATGTGTGTAATTAAAAGTAAAAGTTACCAAAGGGGGGGGGGAAGAAGCCCACAAAGAATACTAGATTTCAAAGAAGATGCCATGTTAGTCTGTCTTGTCACATGGACAGAATTCAAGGGCGAAAAAGGTTGTGGGGGGAAGGAGAAGAAAATATGGTGGCACTTTGAAGACTAATGGATTGGTTTCATTTCAGCATTTGTGGTAAAGTCTACTTCTTCAGGCCCAGCTCACAGTGAAACAAATATGCTGGTCTTTAAGTGCTACAATTATAAATAATACAAATAAAGTCCCTTTTTAATTTTTCCAAAAACAGGAGGTTTTTTGGAAAATTTGCTGCCATATTTGGTAAGTCAGAACAGAATTATATGGCTCGACCTGTGTGGTGCTTCTCATTTTTTAAGATTTACAGATCCAGAGTGGTGCATTCTTTTTTTAATCCCAGGAGTGGCTTTCATAAACAAACATAGTTGGTCCTACAGTATAATGAAAGTAATATGTATGCAGTTTAATGTCCTATTCATCCATTTCCTCTGTGGTTGCCTCAGTTGGATGGAACATCCTGCAGCTGATACAAGTGTAGCAAACCTGAGTTCCACTCCCCACAATGTATAGGATGTTACTGGCTCTCCTATCTTCATTAGCTTGTTATATTTTAGAATATAGGATGGCCTTTTAACAGCCAGTGCACTTAAGAGGAAAGTGAGATCTGGTGGTTTAATTCAGCCTGAAGACAGTTTGTGTGCAGATCTGGTGTAAGCTAGCCCTTGCAATCACTGCCTAACTTCAGTTATACTTGATATTGTATTAAAGAAAGGTGATGCAAAGCTTACACAGTGAGGGAAGGTGAAAGATCTTGAGAATAGTCAATTCTTGGGGTGATCTCATTTTAAAGATCACTGCAACTGGTCTAGAATGCCAGTGGCAGGCAAAGAGGATGAATGAGGTAGTAGCTTGCATTGAGGGCACATCTGCATTGTATAAATCCTTTTTCCTTTTGGCTGAGGCTGGGAATAGCAGTATAGGACTGGTCTAGAATGCCAGTGGCGGGCAAAGAGGATGAATGAAGTAGTAGCTTACATTGAGGGCACATCTGCATTGTGTAAATCCTTTTCCCTTTTTGGCTGAGGCTGGGAATAGCAGTATAGCGTTCCAGATGGCAATCTAATGTACAACATATCATTAGGTGATTACACTAATTTCCCAGGGCCTTTGTTTTTCAGGGGGGAGAGAAGCAACGAGTTTTTACTGGTATTGTTACCAGCCTTCATGATTACTTTGGAGTTGTGGATGATGAAGTTTTTTTCCAATTGAGGTGAGTAAGGGGCTGATGGGATCAGAGAGAGAATGGGATTGTTAATATGTAGACTTTCTTGGAGAAAACAAGATTCAATTTGCTTTTATTCCATTTGCTTCAGCCTCGTTGGAGTACAACCAGAGCCTAGTCTAGATTTGTAGTGGAAAAATCCTGATGTGGTATGGTGCACTATATTAGCCCAGATTGCTCTTGGGGTTTGTTGCTTTTAATGCCTCACATATTAAAAAAAAATACCTTGCAAGAAAAAAAAATCTCACAAAAAAGAAGAAAGAGTTCTGCCTGAGATCTCTTATCTTGTGTTACTAATTTCCCACTTGTAGAGATTCTTTTTTATATAAAGGCATTTAAAATGGGATTATTTTCTTCACTTGTTGCCTTTAGCAGAAGAGAATGGAATGTCTCAGAAATTTTTTGTGTTGTCTTTTTCTGCAATAAATCTCCAGTTTGTTTTTTTAAAAAATTGTTTATTAGCACAGACAATTCATTAATGAATAAGAATGTGGTTCAAATAATTATAAATCAGCTATGTAGTGCAAGTGATTCCACAGATAGTGGCCATGAAGCTGGAGATGGCAGGTTATCTCACTGGAAGAGAGTTCAGCTCTCTTGGAAGCAGATCAGTATGCAGTCATAATGCATCATGCACAGGCCACTTGATATGCTAAAATAAGTATGTCAGTACTTGGAGGCCACAGAAGCAATGAATTTCCCCCCAAAGGCTTTATTTATTTACTTGTATCAATGTTGCATAATTTAAAATTATGGATGTATAGGAAATATAGGTAAAACTAAAATATTAAGAGACTTTTTCTAAAGAAATACTGTTGTTGGAGGTAACTGTGAACATTGAAGGTCATACTCATGAGCATATCTATGAGCAGAAATCTTGCTTACTCCCAGTTATAGGTTTTTTAAAAATGTATTAAATCAGATCACACTCTATTTAGGACATTGGAAAATGTTCTGGATTCAAAATTTTCTGAAAAGCCCACATCATTGGCTTCAGGACCATACCTGAGTGATAAATTTAGTACAAACTCCACCCGTCACATCTCCACTTTAAAGAAAATGAAAAGGATCAGATATTAGGTGATCATAAAGACTTTTGGCTGAGACTTTGGAGACTTGAAGCCAGTAAGGATAAACATTTTTATGCTTGATGGACCAGTAGTCGGACCTGACGGAAGTGGCTCAGAAGACTTTCCCACTTCATTCTGCAATGTGTGTAGCCCAAAATTTGAGTGGCAACGCCAGAATTGCTGATCTTTGAGCTGTTTACTCTCTGCTATGAACTCTGGAGATGTCCACAAGAAACTTGGCAGCAGCAGAAATACTGCATATGTTTTGCTGTTCTCTATTTTATTTCAGTGTTGTCAAAGGCCGGATTCCTCAGATTGGAGAAAAGGTGCTGGTAAAAGCTGTTTACAACCCTAACCAGTCAGTGCCATGGAATGCTTTGAAGGTCCAGATATTATCAAATCAGGTACCTCAGAGTTTTCTTCTCTAGAGTGTTTAAGGAAGGTGCTTCCTAGTATTTCGAGGAGTCTTACAACAAACCAGCAATTTAATTAGTAAAATGAAAAGAAGGTCTCTGGATTTTCTTCGTTATGTTTCTCTATAGTGGATAGTTTCTTGAGCTCTTTGGTGTTGCGGTGTTCAGTACTCAGCCCTGCTTCACAGTGCCTCTGTGTTCCCTTTTCCTGATGCCTTGGCATACTGGTGACAGAATGGATTGTGATTTTACACATTGATTTCCATAGTTCTAAAAAGATACTGAAAATAATCTATAGTATGAAACAATAGTAATGTGGCAGATAAACAGCACACTGCGGTACCTATTTGAAGATGTAAGTTCCATTGTACCTGCCTGTTGTGGCTTCATTCAGCTTATACAGCTTGAGCCCCTCAGTTTCCATATAGGAACATTATCTGGTGGCTGTACTCAGAAACTTGTATTGTTTTGTCAGATACTGAAAAAAATCATTTTGGGGGCTATAGCTGCTAGAATATCCCAGCCAAAATAGCTTTCATAATCTCTGAAGGGCAGTTGTGTGAGGTTTTGGTTCTTAAATCTGGCAGTTTGTAGGAAAGTCTTGCTATCAAGAAACATCGTCGTTGATGGCATCCTTTTGTTCTGCAGCCCCTTTTGAAGCCCCCTACCCCTCTTCTCCATGTGACTTCTTTGGGACAGAAGCAAGGCATTCTGGGAGCCCAGCCTCAGCTGCTATTTCAGCCTCACCGAATTCCACCCCTTTTCCCTCAGAAACGTAAGTGATACCCAGTATATTGTAGGTTCGTGGGATACGTATATTTGTAATAACAAGAGTCAGTTCTGACTTAGGGTGACCCTTTCCAGGATTTTCCAGGTAGAAAATAGTCAGAGGTAGTTTACCATTCCCTTCTTCTGGAGGTACCCTGGGAGTGTGCAGCTTGCCCAAGAGCATCCAGGCTGGCTGTAAGGAAATAATGGCTGAAATCCTCTTGCACAGATTTGTACCGTACAGCAAGGATTATGTCATCAGCCACGCTGTGCTGTGGCTATTTTGGCACACTGAAACGCTTCCTAGAGCCCCCTGCCAATGTTTCAAGGGTCCCTAGTCTGCTTCCTCCTGGGATAGCCTTTGGGAGCCACAGAAGAAGAGGAGGAGGAGGAGGAAAGATTTAAACCTGGAAAATCCCGGCTGCTGCCAGTCCCGTTGTGTGACACAGCTCCACCAAGAGGATTTTGACCAATAAGCATGATGAAGCTAGAGTTTGAAGGATGGAATTAGAGACAGAAAAACTCTGGTTTTAGAAATCAGGGAGGGAGGAACTTGGTCCAATACTTTCTTTGGTAATAGTTTTTCCCATACTGTCCCAAAGTGAAAAACAGTTTTGATAAGCACCTTTCTTCATTAGGCCATCAGGTAAGATTGTAGTCTGTGGAAAACATCTTGGGTGGGGGCTGGCAGACGTCGAGATGCTATTTTTGGGACACTAGCTGTACAGGAGCTCTGCAGTGTATCTGTCCTGTTTCTGTGCGCATGTGTTGCCATCACAGATTTTCCTCATAGGACTAATAGAATCTGTGTTGGAATTAGTTGATATAGTGACCTCAATTCAAGGAGGCAGACAGGTTGCTCAGGACAAGAGAAGTAAGACTGTGTTTACCCCCACAGCAATGAGCCTCTTCCAGACCTCTCCATCACCCCACTTGGGTCATCTTGGGAGATACACCGGCCGGAGTCCGAAGAGCAGGCAGGACTCGGGCAGATGGTAAGGATGCTACGAGCCCTTTGTGCAGGCACAAACCTCACCCTCCCACCTCCATTTTCTTCTCCTCCTCAGTTGGCAGGTAGTAAAAATTCCCAAGGAGAGTTTTGTGGTTGTACCTCTTCTTTTTGAATCAGGAATAGTTTTGCTGTAATTTATAATGTCCCCTCTTCGCTCCTTCAGAGACTTAGCCATTATTTGTGCATGTTTATTTTGAGTACTGAGCAGAACGACCACCCATGCCATCCATAGCATGCTGCCTTCTTCCAGGTCAGACAGCTTGTCCATCTAGCTCAATACGTTCTTCTCTGACTCCACAAATATTTACAGAATGCTTCCCAGGGTAGATGTTCGGTTTGATCCAGCAGAGGGCTTCTGGCACTCTCATTTTGGAAAACTTTATCCAAAGTAGAGATATACTTATGGGGGTTCTGCAGCTATAGTAGTTGGCTCTGCCCCAGGTCAGTAACTTGCAGGATCCAGCTTAGTTTCATGCTGAGTGGGGAACTTTTATTGGACAGGACAGCACTGGCAGTTTTACTGGCCTATGCAGGCCAGTGCAACCAACATTTGAGTAGCTTTAGTAGTTACAGCTCCCACATGACTTCTTCCCAGAGCTGAGGTGCCAGTTTAATGTGGCACATCCTAATTTGAAAACCCAGGTTGGTGTCTGTGCTGCTTCTATTCCATAAGCTGTTGCATTGGTGCTTATGAGCTTCTGAGAAATTCAGCTTTGAGCCTTTGGCATTCATTTCAGTGTTTGTGCATTTGTGGCTAACTGTTACAACATTGCTTTCCCTAAGAGTTCCTGTGCTGTTGTGCTTTCAGGGATGACTTTGATTCCAAGAAGCGGAAGCAGAAAGGCAGTGAGCCATGGGGAGCGAAAAAGCCACGGCATGAACCCCCCCAGTACCGGGTCCAGCTGGCTTGCTATGCTGTGAATAGGTAAGATCAGGAGAATAAGTGGGCCCTCACTTGGAAGGAAAGAATGGATGTCAGTTTGCATGATGAACAGCTGTCTTAATGCCTTGGTAAAAAGGCAGTGTGTAAGTGCAGCAGGGTTATTTGTTAGTAATATAGTGCCATCAGTATGCGCTGGTGGTTTGAATAAAGAATCAGAGGGCAGATTTATTTTCTTAAGTGGTTTTGCATTCCAAGAGTTCAGAGGTGTGAATCAGTAGAGGAAGGAGGTGGGAGTCAGGGGCAAAATGAAGGGAAGACTGCATTTATTTCACTTACACATTCCTGGCTACATTTCAAACTTCCATAACCTGACACCTTCTGAAGCATTGAACCACAGCTCCCATTGTCCTCAGCCATCAAACACAGTGGTGCCTGGGGATGATGGAATTTGCAGCCTGACATAAGCAGAGGATGGAGGGTTGGAAAAGGCTTCAGTAGAAGTCCTAGCAAGCAAACATAGGTCTCTCTAGAAGATCACCTGTGTGTGTTTTTTGGAAAACATGCTGTAAATGTGAATGTTCTGTTTGCTTTACCGGCAGAGAACAGTGAGTCTGGTGTGTCAGAGTTGGTTGAAAATGTGTTTATTATGTATTCAGATTAATGGACAAACCAGATATTTTCTTTGCTTGGAATCAACAGATAGGTGCAACATTCCTCCTCAGCTGTGTGCTTGAGTACAGGGCTGAATCAGTCCAACCAGATTGATATTGCTGCCGATTTGCTTCCATTTGCAGGCAGAGCCCTGCATGCGGGGTGGGGGCAGAGCTCTCTGCAGCACTAACAGAAATTAGAGGGAAGATTGGATAGGAGTCTTATTGAGAAGAGTCCCACACAGAAGGGTAGCATGTGGCATGCTTACTTTGTGGGGTTGTTTAAAAATCTGATATTTTTTTGGTACATGTTTGTGTTTCATTAGCCCTTTTTGTGATGCAATGGAGATTTTGAGGCGTTACTGCAGCATCCAGCTGCCCAAGGAGTTTTGTGGTGTTCGCCTCTCTTGGCTGGAGACCTTTCCTCTCACTCAGCCACTGACCCTCCAGCACCCCAGCCGTATCCAGGTGGCCAGTCCGGCTGAAGAAGCGGCCCAGGCGGAGGAGGGGACTGTGCAGGATGCTCCGCTAGAGGATGCCAGTTCGGCTTTCAGTGCCAAGGTGAAGGGTTTGGTGGTTGCTAACAAAAACAGGATTGGGCCTCAAAGATATACATAGGAGGCAAAAAACGGGGTGGGGGTGGTACTCAACAGTTTTAATAAGGTTGAGCCAGTCTGAATATTAAGCTTATTTTCTCATCTGTTGAGCTGTCATCCTACTATTGATGTAGACACATTTGGTCCTCCTGATCCCGGTGGATTGCAGCTCCCATCATCCCTGATGCCTGGGGCTAATGGGCATTGCACTCCAGCAACCCATGGCCCTCCATGGGTTGCCATGTCCTCTTTATCCAACATGACATCTTATTACACTTGAAAGACATTGCTTTGCCCTTATATAACTAATTCTCTATATTTCCTTAACCATGCTACTCATGCTGGTATAGCAATATCAAGTTTCAGCAGTGGTTGCTGAGGTGGGATTTGTGTCTTGTGATTAATTGACTTCCTCTGCTTATGTGTGGCTAAGTAGCATCAGAATCACGGGAACCTGCAGAACCTATAAAGGAGTGGATTCCGATGTATGAGAGTACTGTGTGTTTTAATCCTCCCCACTTCCTGAATTCTGTCTGCCTTATGCATGATAATCAAATCATTCCTCCAAAACCTGCACCGTGCTTATTTTATTGATTGAAATATTTATGAACTGTGCTTTTGCCCTATCTTGACCCCGAATATGGTGTCCATGACAGACATGAAAAGCCTGAGCTGTATCTTCTCTGTTTCAAAGGAAATCCAGATTTGGGTTGCTGGCACAGAAATTGCCCATATTGTTAACCTCTCTTGCTGATGGGAAATAACAGAGAGACCTCTGAAGAAGATGCAAGCTATGGGTTGATTCATTCAGTCCACAGTTGGCCATTGTCCATGGCATTGAGCCTCAACAAAGACTTGGCCAGCTTTTATTGAGTTGCTGAGGATCGGAAATGCATACAAATCCCCTGCACTGCCCCTAATCTGTACTCTTTTCTTCAACAGGTTTTGCTCTTGTCTTCTCCGGGAATAGAAGAATTCTACCGCAATTGTTTGCTATATGTTGAAGATCCCAGTGACCAGAGGGAGAGTCCTGAACATCCAGCAAAGCAAATTAAGGTGAGCATCCTAATATTTGGGATCCGGTGGAGGTATAGGTGGAGTTCAGGAGAGTAAAGATAAGGGAGTACCAGGCTTTCCAGATAGCTGTGAGCAGGTCCAGCATAGATAAAGTCCGAAGGGAAGATGCTGAGCAAAGTTAGAAAAGGGTTAGACTGGAGACTAGAAATTGCAACAGTTAAAGGCATGCATGTGTGTGAAAGAAAATAAAGGAGTATTTTGTGGTTACTTTTCAAGTGTCTTAAGTTAGGGGGATGAACATCCCTTGCACTGGGATATAGTATGACTTTTCCCCTCATGGTAGAGCTTCACGTTTTCTGCCTGTGACATTGACATACCCCCTTGGTGATCAGGGACTAAATGATGGGAAAACTGCTTTTGTCCAGGAGTCAGTAGTTGAAACAGGAAAAGTCTCAGTTCTTGTATGCCAGCAGTGGGTAAATCTAAAGGCATGGGTGGGCCCAAATGTTATTCTTACCAGTTTGGCCATTTCCCCATCAAGGATGCAAAGCACAATTGGATTCTGTTCATGCTCACTTAGTAGTAAAGCTCAGTGCAATGACTATATAGGCAGCAAAGTACTTTTCATTTCCATACAACAGCTTCCTACACTGTAAATCAAAGTTCAGCCATCCATACAATAGCTGGGGTGTGGCATTCTGTATTAAAAATTTGCCACTGGAAAAATAAAGTTGGAGGTTAGCAGCAAGCTTAACGCTGTGTCAGATGAATTAGGAATTGTTCTGGGACGTGGGTTGCTTTCTTCAATATCATGTGGTTGGGGTTGCAGAGTATTTCTTGTCTGCATAACATGCAAGTGTCTGATATTTCTTGTCTTAATTACATGGTACCTAAGCTTGTTGAGCTGCTGCTGTTGTTGTTACAGATAGGGAACTGAGTATCTCTGAAGATTCTCAGCCATCCAGGTGAGGTTATCTGGAAGTTAGTCATTGCAACTGGACTTCTTTCTTATTAGGCTGAAAAATTTAGCTACTCATTCAAGTTGCTTCTTCAGTCAGACTGAAGAAACTACTCGGATGAGTAGCAAAACGTTTCAACCTAATAAGAAAGAAGTCCAGTTGCCATGACTAAACTTCCAGATAGGGAGCTGAAATTGAGTGCTTTCTGTGAAACTACTCAGAATTCAGTGAGGCAGGCCTACAAACTCAGACCTGTGTACACCACTGTATTGGATGACTCTCACTGTTTTTCCTCTGGAATTATTTGCTTTACAAGCCCTTTTTTCTTCCTGTTTGTGGCTCAATTGCATTTTGGATCACATTGATCCAATCTTGTGATACTAGGTTAAATAGGGACATGGTGGCATTGCAGGTGAAACCGCAGAAGCCTCTGTGCCGGAAGGTCTGTAGATCTTCCGCTGTAAGATCGAATCCACGTGACGGAGTGAGCGCCTGTCGCTTGTCCTAGCTCCCACCAACCTAGCGGTTCAAAAGCATGCAAATGCGAGTAGATAAATAGGGGCCACCTTGGTGGGAAGGTAACAGCATTCCGTGTCCAAGTCGCACTGGCCATGTGACCACGGAAGATTGTCTTCGGACAAAATGCTGGCTTTGCGGCTTGGAAACGGGGATGAGCACCGCCCCCTAGAGTCGAACATGACTGGACAAATTTGTCAAGGGGAACCTTTACCTTTATCTAGTCCAATCTTGTGATACTAGCTTAGATTCTGCCATTTGTTTCATGTTGGTCCCTTCAGGATTATGCAGTTGCAAAAGAGAAGATGGAGGGCATAACAGACAACTTAAGCTGCTTCTTTAACAGCCTCAGTCATCAAAGGGGAAAAGAATTCATGGTGATAAGTCAGGTGTATTTGGGCCCACTGGTAGCAGAGTTATCTGTTTATAAAGGCTTTGACCTTTGTTTCCCCCCCCCCCCACTAAGATCAAAGTGTGGAGTGAACGATATGTTTCTTTAACTGTTTGTTTCACCTTCTTCAGTTCTTGCTGGGAAAGAAAGTGGATGAAACAGTGCTGATTGGAGGGGAGTGGTCTCCGTCTCTGGATGGTCCCGACCCAGCAACAAACCCAGCGGTTCTGATTCACACCGCCATTCGTTGTACCAAGGCACAGACTGGCTTGGACCTGAGCCACTGCACTAAATGGTAAGCCTTCCTTTTCTATATTCGCAAAGGCTTTCATGGCCGGGATCTAATGGTTGTTCTGGGTTTTTCGGGCTCTTTGGCTGTGTTCTGAAGGTTGTTCTTCCTAACGTTTCGCCAGTCTCTGTGGCCCCCACTTTTTAGATCAACGAAACCACAC